ACCGTCTGGCTAAAGGAACCCGGACCAGAACCAGTTAGAACCAGTTAGAACCAGAACACACCCAGTTAAAAACCAGTTAGACCCAAAACAGAACCAGTTAGACCCTGTTAAAACCAGTTAGACCCAGTTAGAACCAGTTAGAACCAGTTAGAACCAGTTAGAACCAGTTAGACCCAAAGATGCCACCTTTTATTATTGGTTTTGACTAGTTTTTTCCCCCCACAGTCGCCTCTTGCCTGCTCAGATTATATTATATTTATAGGAAAACCTCTTTAAATGGACTTGAACTGGACTCTGTGTTTCTGGTTCTAATGGCTAAACTGGTACTTGGTCTGCTGGGCCTGAACTGGACCCTGTATTCTGGTTGTGCAGGGCCTGAAATGGTTCTAATGGCCTAACTGGTTCTATTTCTAATGGTTGAACTAGTTCTGGTTCTAATGGCCTAACTGGTTCCGTTGGGCCTGAACTGGACCCTGTATTCTGGTTTTCTTGGGCCTGAACGTGTTCTGGTTCTGGTTCTGCTGGGCCTAACGTGTTGTGGTGCTGGTTCTGGTTCTGCCGGACCTAACGTGTTCTGGTTCTAATGGCCTAACTGGTTCTGGTTTTAATGGGACCGAACGTGTTCTGCTTCTGCTGGGCCTGAACTGGTTCTGGTTCTATTTCTGCCGGGCTTAACGTGTTCTGGTTCTGGTTCTGCCGGGCCTAACGAGTTCTGGTTCTGGTTCTGCCGGGCCTAACGTGTTGTGGTTCTGGTTCCGTGGTCCTGACTGGTCCTGGTTCTGCTGGGACTGACTGGTCCTGGTTCTGCTGGGCCTGAACTGGTCCTGGTTCTGCTGGGACTGAACTGGACCCTGTATTCTGGTTCTGTGGGGCCTGAACTGGTTCTGGTTCTCAAGGCCTGAACTGGTTTTGGTTCTGGTTCTGCCGGACCTAACGTGTTCTGGTTCTAATGGCCTAAATGGTTCTGGTTTTAATGGGACCGAATGTGTTCTGCTTCTGCTGGGCCTGAACTGGTTCTGGTTCTATTTCTGCCGGGCTTAACGTGTTCTGGTTCTGGTTCTGCCGGGCCTAACGAGTTCTGGTTCTGGTTCTGCCGGGCCTAACGTGTTGTGGTTCTGGTTCCGTGGTCCTGACTGGTCCTGGTTCTGCTGGGACTGACTGGTCCTGGTTCTGCTGGGCCTGAACTGGTCCTGGTTCTGCTGGGCCTTAACTGGACCCTGTATTCTGGTTCTGTGGGGCCTGAACTGGTTCTGGTTCTCAAGGCCTGAACTGGTTTTGGTTCTGGTTCTGCTGGGCCTAACGTGTTCTGGTTCTGGTTCTGGTGGGCCAACGTGTTCTGGTTCTGCTGGGCTTAACGTGTTCTGGTTCTTCTGGGCCTACTGGTTCTGGTTCTGGTGGGCCTAACATGTTCTGGTTCTGCTGGGCCTAACTGGTTCTGGTGGCCTAAATATTCCTGGTTTTAATAGGACTGAACTGGACTCTGTCTTCTGGTTCTGGTTATGCCGGGCCTAACGTGTTCTGGTTCTGGTTCTCCTGGTCCTGACTGGTTCTGGTTCTGGTTCTGGTTCTGCCGGGCCCGTACCTGTTCCCCCCCAGTGAGTCCTGCAGCAGGCGGGTTAGCTTGGCGTCCCGGTACGGAACGTGGGCGCCACGGCGACCGCGGTCCCCCAGAGCACTGATCACGTTCCCCAGAGCTAGCTGAGAACCAACACAGTCTGGAGTTAGGCAGCAGGAAAAGCAGAAAAAAGCAGAAAAACAGCAGAAAAACAGCAGAAAAAGAGCAGAAAACAGCAGAAAAAGAGCAGAAAAAGAGCAGAAAAAGAGCAGAAAA